GGGGGGGGGAAGCCCTTGGAGAGCTCAGAAGGCAAATGTCGGCGATCGGCGGTGGCTTTGCGGTCCATCCAAAGCCACCGCCGACTGCCGACATTTTCCCCCAGCTGAGCGGCGGGGCTTTGAAGCTCCCGCCACTCAGCTGGGGGGAAATGCCAAAGGCCCCATTTTCGGTCAGCTGGTCGGTGGTTCCAAAATGGCCGACCCGCTGTGCTGCCTCGCTTTAGAGGCACCGAAAATGGCCGCCCCTATGGAGGAACATCGCTGAACGGTGAGTTTATCCCCCATAGGAACGCATTAAAGTTTAATGCGTTCCTATGGGTTTTTCTGTTCCGTTTAGCGATGTTTCCGCATAGCGACGATTAATCCGGAACGGATTAACGTCGCTATGCGAGGCACCACTGTAAAAGAATTAAACATTTTATCTAGTTTATTTTCTACTACAAGTAGAAATTCAAACTTCTTTAACAATGTAGAACTATTTTTTTCACAAATCACAAATACATTCAAACATAGTAAAAGCAGCTTATTCCCAGGTAGGGAATAACAATATGGTCCTAGACATGCAATGTTACAATCTGCTATCTGTTTCTCAAATACTACAGTAGTAGTAATTGCCTTGCTCTTGGATGGGGCAAAGATCTATACTGGGATGATTTTAAAACATTGGCCAGAATCCTATTGCCAAGAAAAAGTAATCTAAGTAAGTCTTGAACACACACCAGTGACTGCAACCAGACCTTCATTAATTACCAACAACTTGCCACCAAGACTTACACAGTTTCCCTTATGCAAACATAAATTACTACAAGGAGCCTGGCCTGTGGTTACGCTTGTGTCACAGCTCTGAAAAGCAGCCTGCATAGATGGCTTGGTGCTACTGGTACATGTCAACTTATGTTCAACTGTAGCTTTCAGTGTTTTGGCTCCTTTTTATTACTTAAAGCACTAATTTAATATGTCATTTATTAATTAGTACTTACACTAATAGCCATTTAGCCCTGGCGTTTTTTTTAATGGCAGTGTTGTCATCAATAAGATACTAACATTTTCTGGGATTTCTAAGGCAAGTAGCTCATAAGTATAACAACAAACTCGACATTCAGGAAATTATAAAAACTAGCCCAACCGTGGGGTTTAATTTCCTTGACCTTTATCTATGATGTACCAATATTACTTACCAGTCAAAAAAGACTGAGGATTAAAGAAGCCAGAAAGCCACACCACTGCAGGAAGTACAAGATCTTGTGTCCAGGTATCAAGTTCTCTGCATCGTTTAAGAAGGTCATTAAACCTGAGGAAAAAGCAGCAGAGGAATTGATACCACTATGGGTAGTAGATCAATATTAAAATAATTTGTTATCAGTTTAATCTTTGTAGTATTTGTTGTGGGTAGAGGATAGCAGGTAGGCAGAGGGTGAACAAGCAGGGTTCCTGTTCCTTTTATAGGTACTTAGGAAATTTCACCGGGTTGCCACTTTCAATACAAGCTACACTTACTACATAGGTACATGGGCCGTGGAATCCTCTCTCTAACATGCACTGGCTGTAGGAAGTTTATAATTATGTGCAAACCCTTTCTGCCAGATGAACTAAGAGTTCTGACAGACAAATCTACAATAATTGCTCTTACGGATGAGATCTGCAGGCAGAATTGAACTAGGGATGGAGTGAGGAAGGAAGGAAGTCACTCTACATTCCACCCTCTTTCAGCCCAAGGAAATGGGTCCAACCTTTGCGTTGGACGAACCTGTGTTGGCACTGTGAGAGTAATTTTTTGACAGCCCTACTGTATGCTGGGAGGGGGCTGGATGCAGGATAGCTTCATTTTGCCCTTAGGCACTTTGGCCAGCTAGGATTGCAGCAATAAGCTTTCCCAGAATTGCACAAGGAAGTAGCAACAACATAATTTCTGAAATTCTGTATTTATTAGTCGAATTTGCACTGCAAGACAGAAGGATGCTGTGTAATTTGTTGTGATCAAAATAGTCATTCAATATACAGTGAAAACAATCATTCTGTTGCATTTTGCTTTAGATGCATCGAAACTTTTCAAAGCCTGTCAATCTCTTAAATCTTGAGACAGTATCAATGGCACTGGGCGATAAAAAATGTAATGTCATATATAAACACCTAGATCAGAAGAAGATGCTACAGTTAAAAATGTTCATGTTTAAAAACTATAAAGTACTTGTATTAAAATATGATTAAATCTTATTTAATCATATTTTAAGTAGATCTATTGAAATTAATAAGATTTATTTCAGCAGGGCTGTTCTAGCTCTGACTGAATATGGATTCATGTACAATAGCTCAACTGCCTCAGGTTTTCAAAGGTAAGATATGTATTTACCATTGTGCAAGACTGTACGTGGAGGGGTAAGCCAATCTCATCCATGCATCTGGCACCAGATCATAAAACAATGATGACTGTAAAGCTTCCATTGTAGGAGAAAATGTCAGTTCACCCTAGATGTTTGAAGGGGGGAAAAGTATAAACTTTCTCTTGATACTATTTCAAGAAAAAAAAACCAAAAGAAAACATTATTCCTCTTACTTTCAGACCAAGGTCTAATTGCTTAAGTGACCTCCGTATCTCTCGAATGAGAATGTTCATCCTCTCACATTCTTGAAAACAAACAAGAACATAGGGACTTCGTGAGGCAGATTTCTGCATTATTTCAGCCATGTTAAACTCCTCTGGTAACTTCTCTAAAACTTCATCCAGGACATTCTTTACCTTAAGACATAAACACAAAGCAAAAGTATAAATGGTTAGTTTTAAAACCCACAAAACCTAAGGAAGAGTATTAGATTGTTCTATAATGTTATGCAAAGGCTTATAAAACATTCTCTTATGTATGGGCTTCATGCTACAAATCTTTCTGGAAGGCGGTACTGATGAGGTATTAGAAGCTGGTAAGTCAAGACCGGCTTGACGCCGTGATGAAACAGCAGGAGGAGGACAGAGCTCTGTCCCCTGGGCTAAATTCTGACCTGTTTGGGACACCCCAGGGTGTCGAAACCACCCCGAAGAGGTGGTGAACTGGGGGAGGGAAAGCCTGTTGATCACGGGGGAGACGGCAGTCATCCCCATTTGATCCAGGAAACTCCCTAATCAGCCAACGGGCAGAAGCAAGCAGTTTTTTGCTTGCAAGTCGTCAGCAGCCAGCAGTAAGAGAAATAACAATCAGCTATTCAACATCAGTGTTACTATTGGGTTAGATATATTTTTACAATTAATTGTTTATGATTACCCCTGGAGAAGACAATTCCTATATACAGAAAAAAGAACCTATCAATCTTATCAATCACAGAGCGGCAGAAAATCTGGAGAGAGGGATAGTTGATGCAAAGAAATAATTTAAAGATTTATGGGACATTAACTACTCATTAAAATACATCTAAAATATACTTTAAGAATATTATAATTTGGCGTTATAAATCTTAAGAAATTTTCTTGTAAGTTATTACTAGTTAAGTCTGGACTTATGTTTTGACTACTTGAGGTTTTTTGGCATAATGCCCACAACAGTGACCTTGAGTACTCTACTGTTGTTTAAAGCTTGGAAACCTGTTTTTTTTTATTTCTTTTTGGTTTTTTCATGCCTGGCTGGAACATAGACAAATTAACCCTAAAGTGGATCTTTTAAAACTGTGCTTTGGGAATTAGTATATTGGGCCAAAGTGAACTTTTTGGAACCACCTCCAGGGACTTGTAATTTCCGTTTTGGCCGATGCACAAATGTGGGAACTAGGCTACCAGGACATGGATACAAACACTGAATTGGACTGTGATATTTGGGGTTTTGAACCTTGGTTCAGGCCTAATTGGCCAAAGTAGATCCTCTGAAACTTCCCCGGGAGCTGGAAGTGTTTGTGTTTTGACTAGCTGGTGTAAGCCTGTGGGAATTAGGCCATCAGGCCGCAGATACAATCATTGCATTGTACCTTGGTACTTTGGGGGTTTAAATTTTGGCCTATTTAGCCAAAGCGGGCTCTTTGAACTGACTCTGGAGACTTGGAATATCTGTTTAGCTGGCATCAATTTGCCAGGGATCAATTAGGACACA